AAAATTTGCTAGTAAAGTACTCCCCTTAGATAGTAGCAACGTTCAAAAACTTGAAGCTATAATATTCATTTTTTATCATGCAAATTTTTCTCAATATCTCTCTCCCTTTTTGTTATATCAAAAAGGAAGATAGAAATATAATAAATACACTTTACAAAGCATGATAAGCACAATAAAGAATATACTAATTGTTAGAAACATATATTCACTAAGCACATCAATCATTATCCCACCAATATTCAATACTAATTCCAATTGATAGATATAAATAAAAGCTCCTTTTTTGTAAATGCAAGTAAGCGCAAAATCAATTTTGAGGGATAAATCATTTTATTAATTGGTAAAGCACTAGTAAAAGCTCCCCCTATCATTAAGTATTCCAAGCATATCAATTTCAAAACTCAGACACATTTAAGAGAGAGATGATAATTTTCAAGCTAAAGTGAAAAAAGGCAATATAAAGCTTATTTAATTAAAAAATATTTAATTAATTAATGTTGGATATTGTTATGATATTTCTTAATTGAATAATTGGAAAAGCGTTTATCAGATATTTGGGATAGGATATAAATTTAAATTTAATTTGTTTATATTTAAATAAAGGTTATTTATGTGATAATCCATTACATTTAAATTTAAATAAAGATTATCTATGTGATAATCCATTACATTTAAATTTAATTTGTTTAAATTTGAAAGAGATATCCTGCCTTTCTATCCTTAACACCTCTATAAATAGTGAACAGACTTGCTGGTTTTTTATACAACAAAAAGTGAACATAAGTTTTGTAAGTCAAAAAAACCAAAACACCTAATCTCATTCTCTTCATTCTTGAAGCACTATCAATAAGGTCTGAGGGTTTTAAAACGTGTAATTCCTCATAGAGGACTCTAGTAGCCATTCTATAACAACGAGAATGAATAAATCGTTTTGTATATGAAGGAGGTTCGTAAAGCAAGCTTATTCAATCAAGAACGGAGTGGAAAATTCATTTGAAAAGGTAGGCCACCTCTCAACACTTCCAAACCCAATTCTAGTTAATAGCTTTTACATTGATCAAATACTAAAACTTTGTTCAAATTGAATGGATTTTTTGGTTGTTTAACCATGGCCATGGAAATCAAGATAAAATTAATCTAAAGGTATTAACAAATAACAAATACCAAACATCCTAACTAAACTTTTGATAGATAAATATGCAATCCAACAATTACTAATAGCTAAGCAAAAGAAGAAAACTCTATATTTAATTATTTAGTTATTTGCCTATTTTTAACCAATTTTAATGCAAAGAAATTTGGGGCTGCTTGAAGCATCAAATGGCATGTTTTTCAATTGTAGTCAAAGTATGAATGATATATACACTACAAAATAAAAATATATTTTTCTAATGAAATTTTCCATTGAAAAAGCTTAAAATTTTGTCAAAAATTTTTTTCCAGTGGATTTTTGATGGAAAATTCTAACTCTGAAAGTCTAGCTAGTAATACTTTATGTTAAAAATTCATCAAAAATTTTTTGACATAAATTTTTATTGGAAAAAAGTATATAATTCCATCAAGAAAGAGCTATTGAATTGTAGATTATATCACATCAATTTTGTCGAAAAAAACTCAAATTTGACTAAACTTTCGTTGGAAATGCATTTCCTATTGCTAACTAAATATAATGAATGGTTTGAAATTCTTTAGGTTTAAAATTCCTAAACCCAAAATTTTATAGTACTTTCTTTTGTCTTCGAGTTATTTCACTTCTTACTAGTATATATTATGCCTTCGCTTCACATCGATTTATTGTTTTATGATTTTGTAAGGACAAATAAGGAATTATGAATTTGTTTTGCAAGCTACAAGGTGCTTAAATACAACAAATATATTAGTAACTGAATTGAATTTCATAATTTCATATATTAAAGGTTTTCTTTATCCAACATGTTGAATTTGTTAGGAGCAAAAGGTATTTAACGGAGAAAAATAATACGAATACAAGCTGGAGTTGTAATTAACGTTGTATCCATATCAAAGTTTCTATAATTCAAACATAAATATAGAGTGAAACATCAAGCTTTATTAGTATAAGTTAAATGAATTAGAAGTGCATGGCAATTAGCATGCAACATGGTTTCCATTTTGAAATCTACTTGATGGAGTGGGGAGGAGATTTTGATTTTTAAGGAAGGTAGGTGAGTTAATTCATTGTTATAATACCAAGTACATTAGCTATATTTGTTATTGCATAATATGTAGTGTAACCATTAATGCCAACAAAATCCAGAGAGTCATTAATATAATAATGATTGACATTGTAAAAAGTAAACATTAACTTTAACAAAGTAAAATGCAAGTATTGATAATGTTAATTTTTATTTTATTATTTAAAATATAATCTTAAATTTTTGTTGCAAGTTTATAATGGCAACTTATGTTGATGAAGAATTCAATATTCATGGGATTGATCAAGATTATGATTGCGAACATATTTTAGATTTGATTGATAAGAATTATGATGAACATGAGAATGAAGAAAATAATAATCACAAGTGTTTAAAGCAATTTGTTGGAATGGAGTTTCAATCATCAAAAAAGTTTTTAGAGTACTATACTAAGTATGCAAAACGTGAAGGATTTGGAATTTGTAAGAGTCATGTAAAGAAATATCGAAGAATTCAAGTGATGACTAGGCAAGAATTTGTTTGCTCAAAAGAAAGTTATTGTGCAAAAAAAATCTTAATAGTGAGGATAGAATTAAGCACTGACTATTGAGATAAGAATGGGATGCAAAGCCATGTTTTTTGTGTCCAAGAAAGCTGAAGACAAATGGTTAATTTTTAAACTTATAAGAGATCATACCCGCGAGCTTACTATTGCAAGAAGTGTTCAATTTTTATGTGTCCATGGAAAAAGGCTAAGAACTTAATGAAATTTGATTGGATTTACTTGATGATTCTAGAACTCGTCATAATAAAATCACGCTTGTTGTAGCTAATGGATGGGGTTGCATTGATATGGTTGGTTTAACTAAGTGTGATATTCAAAATTATTTGAGTTATAGAAGATAGAAACACTTTGAAAAGGAGATGCACAATTAATACTTATTGATGTTGAGGAAATTTAGTCCAAGAATCCGAGATTTTTTTTATGCAATACAAATGGATGCGAAAGGTCAACTAGCAAATTGCTTTTAGGTTGAATATAGATTAAGAACCTTATTAAGTATTTTGGTGATTGACAAATAAGCATAAAATGCCTTTTGTTCCTTTTACTGGAGTTAATCACTACCACTAATTCATTTTATTTAGTTGTGCTTTTGTTATGGGATGAGAAAGAAGAAACATTTGTTTGATTATTAAAAACTTGGTTGGAAGCAATGTTTGGTTACTGTAATTGAAAAATGTTTGGCCTAATACTACACACCATTATTGCATGTGGCACATTGAAAAAAAAATCCAAAAAACCTCAACTAAATGTACCACTAAGTCGATGATTTTAAGAATTGATTTTTCAATGTATCCATTGTGCATTAGTTCCAAATGCATTTGAGTCAAAATGGGTAGAAATAATTGAGAAGCACTATTTGTAGAAAAATAGTTGGCTAAAGAAACTACAACTATTCAAGAAAAATTGAATCTTGCTTATGTGCTGTGAATCCCACCTTTTAGTTAAAGGAAAGAAAGTGTAACTTAACTTGGTGAGTTAGGGATTTAAAGTTCTATGAATGATTTTGATCACTTTTTAGCTTAAGAACATCCTCCGAATGATTTTAAATGAGTCTCAAGAAAATTGGGATTCAAATGGGGCTAAAAGACTTAGTTTTCCACTTAGAAATAGCATTTTAAAAAGCAAAACTATCGAGCCTTGGCTGAAAAGTACTGAGGCTTGATTCATGGGATGAATAATGCCTCGAGACTTCATATGAGGTATTGAGACATGATTGTCTAGAAAGAAAGTATTGAGACTTTCACAAGAAGTTTCGAGACTTTGGTCGAAAAACTCCAAACAGAACCATTCTATTTCAAAAGTATCAAGGCTTAGGTCCAAAGTATCAATACTTCAACGTTAGACTTCAAAAAATAAAAGGTAAATTTGTATTTTCACACTTCAAACTATACATAGGGTTCAAATTTAGAGACCTAACATTCCCTTCATCATTGCAACTGCCAAACCCTCTATTTTTCACTCTCTGAATTCTCTTCCAAGCTTTAAACTCATTTTTCTTTAGGAACAAGTGATTTTCAATCATTAAACTAGTTTTCCAACATTTTAGAGGTAAGGAGATGCTTTTCCAGGAGCAAAAGTTTATGAGTTTTCCTTTTTAGGTTTTGTCCATTTTAAAAAATGTGATTTTTGTCTTCAATGTAAAGTTTCAAGCATTTTTCAACATAGTGGGCTCACCAAGGTAATGCTATCCTTAACAAAAATGAATTTTAGAAGCTAGACTATGGTTAAAATATAAACAACAAATTTAAATAGAGATTCAACTAAATTTAGTTAAAGTTTCATGTTCATGTTTATGCTTAAAATGCAATTTACGATGCTAGGAACATTATTGAGACTCTTTTAAACGTTATTAGACATGGTAAAAAAAGTTAGTATTTTTAAAAAAATTGAATACTCCTCGAAAGGTAAAAAAAAAATTGGATGCACTCCAAACCATGTTAGCCTATTCAACAAGTTTTCATTAGTCCTATTGTAGTGCTCACCAATGATCTTAAACAAGACCCTTTCGGGTTTTTTTTTTTTAAGATATGCTTTTGTCAATAAAAAAAAACAATAAGCTTGAGGAATAGCTTATCAGTATATGAACAGAGAGAATCAAATAAAACCCCATAATATCTAGTTAGTGTGAGACTTGGGGATATCCCCATGACGCTATCTACACACTTCATTAGTCTCGTGCAGTCCGTCCAGGTTCATTGCAAGTGTCCCAATTCGGTGCGCCTTTTGGTGTCCACAAGTGAATGAATCTTGGTTACAGAAACTATTATAGAGAAAACCTAAAAATGTTGACCAAAAAAAGTAAAAGAAGAAGACGGCTATGGATGGTCGTTCCCAGCGCTTTGATAATGTCTCTTGTCTGCATATTTATGTTTTGGGCTTTAAGTACGTGAAAATCCATTAACAGAAGAAGGTAAAAAAGGGTCTAATTTCCCGCCAAGATGGAACCCATAGGAAAGGACAACAGCAAAAAAAGAAACCTCTAGTACGAGATAAGCCAAATAAATGAGAAAGAGAAAGGAAAGAGACTTTCAAAATCAGAAATCGTTCATCTTCTCCTCTTGAATCTTGGTATAAGCTGGCCTGGAATTGTTTCTCGATGCCCTGCGGCTGCGAATCATAGCTCTGTTGGGCAAAAGTTCGGACTACACTTTCTGTTCCTCCGAAGAATGGGTCCAAAAAGAGGCAGGAAGAAACGTGCGAGTTGTCTTTTCAACTTCCAAACCCTAATTTCTTCCATTTCTTCTCCACAGGTGCACCAAATTTCTCGTTCCATATCTTATTTCTTCTAATTGTTTCTTGCGTTTACTCTTTCTCTGTTATTTTTTTCTCTCATAATTTTTTCCTCTTAATTCACTGATTTTATTTGGGTTGATTTTAGGGTCCAAAACCAGAGACAATGGAAGGCTTGTATTTACTACTCCTTAATTTGGGCTGCTCTAATTCTGAATCCAATTTGAATTTCCCCGAGACGGAATTCAATTTGAACGAGTTCAAAATCAAATTCAAAGATATTCATGAAATGTCCAATGTCTTATTCGATAAGCTCGGTGCAAAGTTCAATGAATTATTCTCTTGTTTGAATGATGTTTCTGCTCATCCGGCTCAAGGACAATCAATCTTCCATGTCAATGTTCAAGCCGCTATTAAAGAGCTAACCTCGCTTTTGAGATGTTGCATTGTTGTTTTCAAGTTGCTTGTTTTGGATCAGAAGCTTGTTATTGAAAAAGGTCGAATTCTTTTAGGGATACTAAGGAGATGTGTTTCTGTGGAGTTAAAGGGAGGGAATGGCAGAAATTGTTGTAATTTTGAAGAGGAGGTTTCGCATGAATGTATGTTTGTGGATGATGATGCTACTACCTCTCTTTTCGAGCACTTGGTTACTTCCATAAGTTTCTCAGAACCTTGTAATCCATTCCATGCAATCTTGTGTACTGTGCTTGAGGTAATTTTGATTCCTGTTTTGAATTTTAAGAGTGCACATGCTTTGATTCAACAGCCAATTATTCAATTGCTGTAAAGTTAATGCCTTCCGCAGATTGCAATAGTTGATTCAAGTAGGTTTCTTTTGTTATTGACCATAGAGTTAAACAAACAACATTTATGGGTTTGATGCAAGCATAGCTAGATATATCATAGCAAAGTTGTTTTGTTTTACCAGAGAGGGAGGTAATCATCCTCCCTCCCCTTTCTTCATAGGACCTTAAGTTTTAGGTTTTGCCATGTATTGCTTTATTAAGCTGCTTTTTTGTTTAGCCATGATATTCGAAAGTATCACAAGGCTCACATTATTAGATTCTTTTATCAATGAGATTTTGGACATTACCTTGTTCTTGTTCTCCATACTTAGCTGTGAATTTTCCTCGTAGACTGCAGGTATTAGTCTTTGTATGCATATAGCTATATTTTTGTATTGCCTAGTTAAACCTTGCTACGTCACTTTTTACTTGACTTAAGCATGAACTAGTATTTCTTCTTTGGTGGCAGTTATGCTCAGAACATAGGGCAATTAGTAAAACTAAAGGATTGGCTTGTTTTTGAGGTTTCTAGAGTTTATTTACACTCTTTAAAGTGATTTTGTTCTTATCATGGATAGTTTATGGTAGTTAGGTTGCTGCCATGAAAAGCTTACTATTAGACTATATTTTTAAGCAGTAAAAGGACTCGATACTAAAAGTACCATGTTTAGGTATTTGCAGATGAGCTTCTGATGTATGAATCAGTGAGGCAGTACCTTTTGCTTGTTGACTCTCTCTCTTGTGTCAATGAATTTCTATTCATACGTCACTTTGGCCCTGGTAATATTGGAAGTGTGCTGGAGGTTATTTCTGCTCACTTTATTCTCTCTATTCCTGATGACCAAGCATTTAAGGATTTCCTTAATAGGCTGTTTTGGCTTCCTGACAATAATTTCAGAGTTCCTGAAATGACATTGACTACAGCCTTGTCATTGTTGCTCAACCCCATCATGTTGTCTGCACCGAAAATGTTTCAGGCATATTTAATTTTATTGGTTTCTGAGGTCATTGGAACTGGCATATCGTTCGAGCATTTGATAATAAGAAGTGAACTGAGATCGTACCTTGCAGCATTTGAAAGGTCAGTTGCCTTGTACACCAGACACATGTCCAATTTGAACATGAAAGGCTACCCCATAGTTGATGATGATTCTTTTGTGAAATCACATTTTCTTGCAAGTAACAGTCAGATGGATTTTGAATCATGTCTTTTGCCAGCCACAAGAGAGAAAATTCATAATCTGATCACAAAATGCGAAAAAGTATGGAATTCGTGTTTGAGCAACACTTTACTAAAAACAAAGTCTGACCTGGTGGCTGCCTCTGTTGCATACACAAAAGAGAGCCTTCATGTTATTGAGGAATCCTCTAGAGATGAAATTCTATCAATCTTAAGCTGCATAATACTCAGGGGTTCTTCTGATGATGTTGATGACACTTTACTGCATAAAAAGGAAGATACTAGTCCTCAAGATATATGTCTTCTGGCATCTATACTGAAGCTAATGAGTAGTTCAATGTTACAAGCTGTAAGGATTCTAACAAAAGGCAGAAATTCTGGGTCTTTGAAAACATTGGAAAACGTTGCATTAAGTAAGGAGTATAATTTTTTGGTGGCTACTTTTGATTGTTTTCAACAGTTCAGTGTTCGTCTACCAGTTCAAAAGTTCTTGCATGACATGATGGAAATTCAGCCAACAAGGCATAAGAAGTCCAAGTGGATTTTTTTTCACTTTTCAGGCTTGTTGTCGCTAAGTTATGCTAGTGGGCTTGATTTTCTAGTTAAGAATTGCATATTTACATTGATGATACTATTGAATTTTTTTGTTTTCGAAGAGGGTGATTTACATGCATTGGGATCATTACTTGGCTCAGGGGTCGAAACTTCATCTCATAAATCTCGTAGTAAAGTCAGAAAATCTGAATTTTGCCATAAAGCTAGAGAGGTAAAGTTAATACCAATGGTTTCTCTCTTGTTTGCAGTTTTGTCATTCTCATTATGTCTTTGGCTTCTTCTGTTCTTAAAGTAATTGAGAATAATTATTCAGGTTCTTGCGGGCCGAAAATCTAGCCGAGCAGTTGCACTAAAATTTCAGAAAATTCGTACATTGTACTTGGGGTAGGTGAAATTTTTGTGTTTATCATATTAGCTTGTTATTGCTGATTATGCCAAGTGTCTAACTGAGCAAATTTGTTCTTTTCACTTTCCTAAATTTTGCTATCAGTATAAACTTCAGGGATTCATTTTTAATTTTAAGTCTTTGACAGTCCTTTGAATAAGACATTTTGAATCTTGCTTTCCATCCCTTCTGTGTGCATGTATGGACAGGTTGCATGATATCTGCCTACTTGGCTGATGGTGCAAATATGTTCTAGTTTAGGATTTTAGGTTTAATATTAGGATGGAACAAAAAGGATCAGGGATTTATGAGTTGAATAGGATTAGAAAAGTATATATTAAGGGCTGAATGAGTTATCTTGGGAAAGTTATTTCTGGTCCTGCTTTCTTCCCCGTCATCTTTGCAAAAGGGGTCTTAGACTATGATTTTTTCCTAGTGTTTTGGAGTTCAAGAAAATTTATGTTGCCATATCACATTAACCATTTTGTGACCACTGGAAGCCTAGCTATAGTATTGCTGTCTTTCCTTATAGGAAAAAATGGAAAGGGTAATAAATTAACAAGGAGACTCGGTTCTTGGTTTGGTTAGGTCAAACCACTGTTTGGGGTTATTTAGAGTCCATTGACACACTTCCAGATTAAATTTCTTAGCACTGTTTGGGGTTTCTTAACATCTGTTATTGTTGTATTTGTACAAAAATATCTGATAGCCTTTTCTTCATTTTGCAGAATGGATTCTAGGACAAGTTTAGAACATGCGCCTATTGTGAATCATGTTGAATCAGCTCTTAGCATAGAAGAGAATACAGGGAAAACTTGCAATGGTGAGATTTTTCTCAGGTGCATATCAGAAGGCTCCCGAAACTCATCTGATATTGATGATTTAGCAGACTTCATTGAGTGCAAACGGGGAAAAGATTATTCTGAATGGTTGAGGAGTCGAGAAAAATTTAGACGGTGGAAAGCTGAGAAAATGGCAAATTTGAGGTGGAAGAAAAAGAGAACTTTTCTGAAGAGAGCATAGGTTTTTTCCCCTTTTTAAAATTTTTTTTGGGGTCAGATTAAAGGTTCAATGCAACAAAAACTGAACCATAGCAGCCACAGCTTGCATAGACGCCAGGACTCCCTAACTCTAAACAGGAAGGTAGAAACTCCAATTGCAGGTTCCTGTTGCGACAAACGTTTCAGTTCTGGAATTTTCTTATCCTTGCAACAGCGTCTGCCACCGGTTTCCTTCCCTGTATAATATTAACCACAACCGGTTTCCTTCCCTGTATAATATTAACCACATGCCTCGCAACAGTCACGGATGTAAGGCTTGAGCAAGTAATTGTCCATTTAAGTATTTTGTATTCACCACAAGCTCCTAAAAGGCATCAAACTTTAACTTCAAGTTTCTGGATGCACATTTGGTGGATCTTCGAAGGAGTATGTAATTGTCTATAGGTTTTTTTTTTTTCTAATTTAATTTTATCTTTGGGTACATATGTTTTGGGGTACATGTGTTTTGTTTCAAATGTTAAAATGTTAATGAACATATATTTTGAAGGTTGTAACTAGGGACACTTAGCCTGCCACAGCAAACTCTTTGGTTTAGTTTTATCTTGGCTAGACTCAGGGCCTAGCAGGGTGAAACCCTCATTGAAGATTATGTTTAATAAATTATTATCAACTAAATCCTCTTCTTGGCCTTTTTTTTCCAGAATACCTCTCCCATCACGTAACAACTAGGAACAAGTAGTTTTTAGGATTTGAATTTTGTTCCTTTTAAGTAGAAAGATAACGCATCAATCAATGAGTTAAATATTCAAATATGCTTTTTAAGATCCTTTCGTTGGTCTAATCAAATAAACTACAATATCTATTTCAATGGTTATGCACAAGTAACTTTAGAAAGGCCTTTTGAGTATTTGAAGAATTTTCATTAACTACAAATACCCCTAAGCATCACCAGTTTCCATCACAACCACCAATTGTTCAATCTATCATGCTTACACAATTTTCTATGTACTTCTCTATCCTCTTCAATTCTGTTTTTTCAACATAGCCAATTATGCAACAAACAAAAGAAATCCAGTTTTGATATTCTGCTGGCAGTTTTGTAATTTTTGGTACAAGGAAATTTCACTTTTTTCTTAAATTGTTGCGAGAGATAATAAGAAGTTTAATTATAGTAAAGGGATATAATCACAAACTTATCATCCCTGTAATTATGTTGTTTCAATCAAATAATTTTATGAATCAAACATGTCCTTTATCAAATATCAAAACATAATCTCAAAATAAACAAAAACAAAACCACTACATGTAACATCAAAATTTCACCCCGGCACAAGTTTCCATCAAAATTTAACCGAAAAATGTGAAAGTAGAGAACAAATAAACATCAAGCCATAATCCCTCCATACCAAGCTACAAAATTTTGAGGCCTATTGACATCCATATTCCCTAAGTTGTGGGCTAAAGAATTACCCCTTCTTGGAATTTTAGAGAATTGAAGAGATTTCATCTTCCTTTTCTTGTTATGTTCATAGGTTTTACCTGCATTGTTTGACTCCCTACTTATTTGTTGTAGATAATTAATTTTGGTTAGTAACTTATTATTTCTTTAAGAGTTATTTAATTCAAGCAAGGGCGTAATCCCCTTAGGCCTCCAAAATTTTTTAAATTTTTTATAACATATTAAATTTTTAAAGTTTTTAATATATTCACTTAATAACCCTCTCAAATTAATTTTTATTTAATAATTAATACAAATAAAGAGTAACAAAAAAGACCTACATGCCTCACTCAACTTTAATTTTTTTATTTTCTTTTTTCAATATATATGATTATTTTTATAGATTTTCTTCTTCAGATTTTTATGAATCATCAACCATATTCTTTTTCGTTTTTTTGTGTTATGTCATATGTGGGCTTTATCTTCTACTTGCTATGTTTTTCTTGTTTTCTTTTATGTGAATTTTATTTTCTATAATTTTAATCTTTAAAAATTAATAAATTATTATGTTGTTCTCAAATATAAATTGCAGTGTTGCGCTATTACTTAAAATTTCATCAATATATCATTTTTTTATTAATCCTAATTATGTAAGAGGAATTATCTTGAATATATAGTCTTTA